TGAATTAAAATGGGTTATTCAGCAATGGAAAATTACGAAATTGTATAATTTTTATATCATGAAAATATTGCGGAAACTTCGGTAATGCAGCAAGAATTTAGTCTAAATCGGATTTCTTTTCTAGATTAACAAGCAAACAGACAGAAAGCAAAGTGTTTGATACTTGCCACTAAGTCGGAGAAAACCATCCAGTCAAGACGGACCGAACAGAAAATCCGCAGAGAGAACTGACCAGAGTATACTTTTCAGAATTCTGATCCTTATATCCGTAGGGAAGGCGATATATTGAATTCCTTTCCAGATTCTCAAGCAAACAGATAGACAGATATTCACCTTTATGTCTCTATGGAAACACGACAGGTACCCTTACGAGGGGAGAGTATCAACTCGGCGTTTATAAACCCTCCCTGCAAAGGAGGTCGGCGCATGGTGGGTTAGGTATATACAGTGTTTTTCATTGCAGAGAAAATCGTTGTTTATCTGCCTACCTCGTCTGCATTGAGAGAGTTGATGAATTGATGAATAATCGTAAAAATATATCGCATTTCAGTTACGAATGTTGAACAATATTCAGACTATAGATTTATATTCTATGTACGTCTCACGATTCAAATTTCAAATTGATGCTTAGTTTTAGATCCGAGCAGCACACTGTTTGGCATTCATGGTCCTTATTATAACCCACGAAATTCGAAATGTAGCAGATATCTACTGGGAAGACCACTATTAGGAAGGCGAATATGAAGCAATTCAGTTACGCTTGTTGGAAATATCATTCAGGTATGTTTCAGATTCAACATCAGTTTTAATTCTCATGGATTTTCTGATATGTGATATTCAGTTGCAGATTCCAAAAGCAAAGTGTTCGATACTTGTCAATAAATTGGGGAAAACAAGGTGGACCGAACAGAAAATCCGCAAAGAGAACTGACCAGAGTATACTTTTAAGGATTCTGATCCTCATGTTCGTACGGAAGGCGATATATTGAATTACTTTCCAGATTCTCAAGCAAACAGATAGACAGATATTCACCTTTATGTCTCTATGGAAACACGACAGGTACCCTTACGGGGGGAGAGTATCAACTCGGCGTTTATAAACCCTCCCTGAAAAGGAGGTCGGCGCATGGTGGGTTAGGTATATACAGTGTTTTTCATTGCAGAGAAAATCGTTGTTTATCTGCCTACCTCGTCTGCATTGAGAGAGTTGATGAATTGATGAATAATCATAAAAATATATCGCATTTCAGTTACGAATGTTGAGAAAAATATTCAGACTTTATAGATTTATATTCTATGTACGTCTCACGATTCTCAATTGATGCTTGGTTTCAGATCCGAGCAGCACACTGTTTGGCATTCATGGTCCTTATTATAACCCACGAAATTCGAAATGTAGCAGATATCTCGAGAGATATCTACTGGGAAGACCACTATTAGGAAGGAGAGCGGAGAGCGAATATGAAGCAATTCAGTTACGCTTGTTGGAAATATTATTCAGGTATGTTTCAGATTCAACATCAGTTTTAATTCTCATGGATTTTCTGATATGTGATATTCAGTTGCAGATCCCAAAAGCGAAGTGTTCGATACTTGTCAATAAATTGGAGAAAACAAGGCGGACCGAACAGAAAATCCGCAAAGAGAACTGACCAGAGTATACTTTTAAGGATTCTGATCCTCATGTTCGTACGGAAGGCGATATATTGAATTACTTTCCAGATTCTCAAGCAAACAGATAGACAGATATTCACCTTTATGTCTCTATGGGAACACGACAGGTACCCTTACGAGGGGAGAGTATCAACTCGGCGTTTATAAACCCTCCCTGCAAAGGAGGTCGGCGCATGGTGGGTTAGGAATTGATGAATAATCATAAAAATATATCGCATTTCAGTTACGAATGTTGAGAAAAATATTCAGACTTTATAGATTTATATTCTATGTACGTCTCACGATTCTCAATTGATGCTTGGTTTCAGATCCGAGCAGCACACTGTTTGGCATTCATGGTCCTTATTATAACCCACGAAATTCGAAATGTAGCAGATGTCTACTGGGAAGACCACGATTCGGAAGGAGAGCGAGTATGAAGCAATTCAGTTACGGTTGTTGGAAATATTATTCAGGTATGTTTCAGATTCAACATCAGTTTTAATTCTCATGGACTTTCTGATATGTGATATTCAGTTGCAGATCCGAAAAGCGAAGTGTTTGATACTTGTCAATAAATTTGAGGAAACAATCCAGTCAAGACGGACCGAACAGAAAATCCGCAAAGAGAACTGACAAGATATAAATTATATAATTGATATATGATAAATGCTTCCTTCGTTTTCGATTACAGGCGCTAGAGGAATCCGCAGAAATTCGTCATAATTGTTGTCTGCTGAAAACGATGTTCGATCGAGACATAATGTAAACAATTTCACCTCCCCTTTTTCTATAAGTCTTTGAGCGGTCCTTTACTTAGCAGGCCGTAACCTGCTTATACAGGGTGTCCGGAGATAAAACCGACAAAACTCATGGGGTTATAGGGACTGTCAATATGATTGCAAAATGCCATGAACGAATGTCCAAAACGGCTTCGTTACTGAGATACAGAGTGATTTGTGGATTTTGACAAAAAATTCAATCCGCCATATAAAATACAGGGATTAGCCGATTGGATTCAAATTTGGTACACGAATTACACTGAAAAGCATCAACAAGTAGGCCTTTGATCGAAACCAATATCAGGACCGGAATAATATTTTTCCCCTATGTTGAGTTATTGTTAGGATAACTCACCCTGTATCATAATAACCGAAAATTTCAACTCAGATTCGCAATCTACGGTGAAAATTGTATAGGAATTTGTTGAAAAATCTCCTGGCACTATCTTAGTTATTCCGTAATTAATTATTATTTTGATTTTTTTCATTGAAAAATCAATCATTGTCGAATAAAGTACGTATATTTACGAAACCATGACATGAATGTCGATATTTTCTCCGATCAGTTCATGAATCGGAGTAAAATGAAATATTCTCATAACCCGAAAAAACTGAAGAATAAATTTGTATCAGGACTGTAATGAGTGTTTTGTTTGGTCATGTTAGCTGACATAGTACATCAATAGTTATCAATAATCTGATCGTAGATTCGGAATCTGAAAAAATTGGATAAGAACCTGTCGAAGAAGGATAACAGTGAAGTTTTTGTGAATTTTATTCGCTCTCTAATGAATTTGAATTCATGAGAATACTACACAACGAACAATAACTGTTTGTAATTAACATAACAAAAATAACAAATTCGTGAAAAACCAGTATTACAAAACATTTTCGAAGTGGAGCCCTCCAACATCAATACATTTTTGAGAGCGTGCTATTAGATGATTCACTGACTTGCGAATTATTTGAGGGTTATTTCTAACACTAACACATGCAGCAGTAATCTCCCATAAACAATTTCCTCATTATGAACTTCTTACTTTAAATGACCTCATAAAAAATAATCTAGCTGAGTTAGATTAGGGGATAGCGGTGGCCAATTTACTGAACCTCCACGGCCAATTCATCTATTGGGGTAATTGGCATCGAGATGGTTTCTAACTGGAACTGAGAAGTGAGGTCTAGCACCATCATGCTGAAACCATATACCTCAGGTATTTACACCTTGCAATAGATCCGGTCAAGTATTGACCAGAAAATTTAGGTAAACATCACCAGTTGAAACCCAAACACAAATAGAATATCTGCGTATTCCTCATAAGTGAAATGAAACGGCATCATAAGCACACTCTCAGAACTATAGTTTGATCCTGGAAACACTGGAATAATGAATGAACACCAATAAAACAAACGCTGATGACAGCTGTACAATGGTTTTCCTTTATGAAATTCTGAATTTGACACAAGCCTAGTATTCTTCATACACAAACATTATATGGTACTGATACGGATTTATTATTTGAAAGTTCAATCCGATCATTTTTCAACAAGTTTTTAACTTTTCTCAGTGCATTTCGAATCTGCGATCAGATCATTATACTAGATCATCTATTCTTACAGGAATATAATCATAGAAAACCGCATTCCAGTCCTGATACGAATTTATTCTTCAGTTTTTTCGGGTAATGAGAGTATTTTATTTTACTACGATTTACGGACTGATTGAAGAAAATAACGACATTCATGTCATGGTTTCGTTAGTATTTATTATATTACCAATTTTGATGGTACTTTATCCGACAATAATTGAATTTTGAAAGAAAAAAAATTAAAATAATAATTAATAACGGAATAACTAAGATAGTGCCAGGAGATTTTTCAACAAATTCCTATACAATTTTAACCGTAGATGTCGAATCTGAGTTGAAATTTTTTGTTATTATTATACAGGGTGAGTTATTCTCACAACATCTCAACATAGGGGAAAAATATCATTCCGGTCCTGATATTGTTTTCGATCAAAGGGCTACTTGTTGATGCTTTTCAGTGTAATTCGTGTACCAAATTTGAATTTAATCGGTTAATCCCTGTATTTGATATGGCGGATTGAATTTTTTGTCAAAATCCACAAATCACTCTGTATGTCAATAACGAAGCGGTTTTGGACATTGGTTTATGGCATTTTGCAATCATATTGACAGTCCCTATAACCCCACAAGTCTTGTCGGTTTTATCTCCGGACACCCTGTATAATTCTAGTAGTCAAGATCTGAAACGCTTGTTTTTACCCAAATACTCATATTACTTTATATACACTAAATTTAGAGTTATTATTATCTTGATATGTATCTATAAATTACTATATCTAAATTGTATACCAACTTTGTAAACAAACCTTGGTTGAGTGGAAGAATAGCTATGCTAAACTTCGCCAAGTAAAATAAAGGCCATTTATTATCATTATTATTATTATTAAATAAATCAAAAAAAGTGAAAGAGGAAAAATCATGCAGAAAAAGGGAGAACGAAGGATGAACTAACACGATATGCTGTCGACTGGCTCACCTGCGAACAAACCGACTTCTTGTGAGTCTTGTGCGCGACCGACACCGGCTTGGACGCGACGACCTTGACCTTGACGCCGGGCGCCGCCAGCTTCTGCGACTCGGAGGCGAACAGCCTCTTCACCAGACCGTTCCTGCTGGCCTTGATCACGTTGATCTGCTCCTCGATCACTGTGTCGCGGTTCTTCTCCAGGAAGCCGGTGCTCTCGTACTGCACCTACATCAGGATTTCCAAGATTTCAAGACTTGTTTGTTTCTCAAATTTGAGTACAGTCGAACCATCTGAGTGGATCCATCTTGCAGTGGAGTGAATATAATAGGGCAGGAAAAAATCTTACAGGCAACTCCACCAAAACTATACTTTATTTAACATTGGACATGTTCCGAAGCTTCAAAGCTTCATCATCAGTAAACATTATATTTTGTTACAGGAAGTACTACAATAAGAAAGACAAAAAGCTACGTCAGACAAGCATTCAGATAATGAAAGTCAAACAATCCTCACCTGTTCTGGGGAAAATATTTCACATGATGAAACAGCAAAAATGTGATTTACATATTAAAAAATTGTGTTGATTAAAATAAAGGGTCCGCAATTGAATGCGGATCATCTGTGTCAAAATATTAATATCTCTATGATTGAGTATTTTTTTGAGTTTTCTTTCTAAAGTAAAAAGTTAACCACATTGCTCGGCTCAGACAATCGGACAGTGGATGGAAAAACGAAGCAAACGGTGTCAAAAATCAGAAAAAGTTGCTTAAAATGACACCAATTACGTCATTTGACAGGTTGCTGAGGGGCAAACATTGTATCTTGTCAAGATTTGTCATATGAAACCAGAATTAGTGGGATCGTATTCCTTGGAATCCAAGCTGGAACCAGAAAGAATTTCATAATTTTGTTTGGTGAAACTGTTATTATATTGTTGATGTGGCAGGGATGGCCAGGGCTATGCTCATATCAAAGGTAACCTGACATATAGTTTGTGTGCCCCTCAAGAAACCATGTCAAAATCGCGTGTTCTAGAATGATCAATTGCTTCATTTTCCAATCCACTGTCCGGAAATTAATAAAATAAAACCAAAGTTGAGGTTCACCATTTTGAAAACTCAAGTAAACCGTTTCTCACACACTCCACCACACATAGTATCTTTGAAAATCGACTCGATTGATGAAGAGCTATCGAATATAACAAATTGTTGTCAACTAGTCGTAGCATCACATTTTTTCAACTCTAAAATTTTCAATTAGTCTGATGAGTGTCTTTTATTAGACCGAAACATGTCCCTTATGATTGTGTAATAACATCATTCAAATTTGTGGAGATGACATTGAGCATTCCTTCCTTCCTTCGAAAAATTTCACTCCACTTTGAGCAATATGGACTTCTACCAAAGATTATTGTATAATTATTTTGGTAATTATCATCATCATTTTTATTCTCGTTTTCATCATTCTTGTCATATTTATTGTTATTATTACCTTATCGGCAAAGTGGTTGACGACGAATGAGGAAGCGCCGAAACGTCCCTTGGAGAAGTGGGGGTACTTGGAGCATTTGGTGTAGAGCTTCTCGGTCCAGGAGGCATCAGAACCTCGAGGCATCTGGAAAAATAAAACAAAAAATTCAAACAGAAGTTGGGAAGGAATGGTGCCTACTCATCGAATCGATTATTAGTTACCATAATTGTCACCAGACCAAATGTGACCGAGATGGATTGCAAGAAAACGATTGATTGATTGATTGATTGATAGCAGAATGACCAGTCAGGGTTCGAAGCCCAAAGCATTCCAGCCTTTTTGGCTATTGTATTCCTGATCATGCTGTTGGCTCAGGTGAACAGGTACGCTACTTTGATGAGGTTTAGCAGCCTCTAGGCCAAATCTTTCGCTGGGAAAAACTCATGTGAGTTCAGTGCTCCCAGAAGGTTGTATCTCCAAAGTGCTAGTGTCTCGTAGTCCAATATTACACGGGTGACCGTTTTCTCCTCATTGCAAAGTCTGCATATGGGTTCGTCTGTATAGATGTCTGATCTGACTTCTGTTTAGGCTCAGAATGTCGTTAGTCACTGCTCTGAACAGTGTTCTTACCATCAGTGTGCGGTGTCTTTGTCCTGCGTTGTTCCAGTATGCCTGATGTTTTTCTTGCGTCCACCTTGCCAGCCAGCCGCGTATTGAGGTTTAGAGAATTATCATAATGTTGGGAATGTTTTGAATTATGTAAGATAGGCAAAAAGAGTGTAGTTTACTTTGCACTTTCCGTATAGCACATCCAAGATGCCCAACTTTGGTCTCGATGATATTGATGCAAGGCTGGTTGTGGTAAAACTCAATCATTTTCCAGCCGATACCCTCGCGAATGTACTCCCACAAAAGAATTGAGGAATAAATTAGGGGGGGGGGGGTGGTGGCAGTGTTAACAAAATGGAACCATTGAGAATAAGGAAGAGAAAGGAGAACAGGAAGAAGAGATAGAAGAGGAGAATATGAAAACTAGGAAAGTGAGGAAGAAAGTGGAAACATTGACGCCAGAAAAAAAGGAAACCGAAGAAACGGGAAGAAGCAAGAGTCTAGTTTACATAGCACTCTTCATATAGCAAGTACAAGATGCCCAGCTTGGTCACGATGCAGGGCTGCTTGTCGTAGAACTGGATCATCTTCCAGCCGATACCCTCACAATTCACTCCTCCTGCTCTAGCTTGAACACGGCAGGATGGTATAAGAAAAAATGAGGGAAGGGGGATGGAAACAAGAGGCCTATTCGTTTGTGTTTGCTCTATCTGCTGATCTTGATTTTTTTCTATGATTTTCTCTGTTCACATCATGCCATGAACAGAGACAAATATGGAAACAAAACCAACTTCAGCAAGATTAGCAACACAAAGGAACATACCTTAGAGGGAACCATTGAGGAAATTAGAATAGAGAAAGGAGAACAGGAAGAAGAGATAAAAGAGGAAAATATGAAAACTAGGAAAGTGGGGAAGAAAGTGGAAAAATCGGGAAAAGAAGACAAAGAAAAATAAAAGAAGAAAACGGGAAGAAGCAAGAGTGTCGTTTACCTAGCACTCTTCGTAAAGCAAGTCTAAGATGCCCAGCTTGAAATCGATGAGATCGATGCAGGGCTGGTATTGTCGCAGAACTCGATCATATTCCAGCCTATGCCCTCGCTGATTTACTCCTCCTGCTCTAGCTTGTACATGTGCAGGAGGGTAGAGGGAAAAATAAGGAGGGGAATAGGAACAAAAGGGAACCGTTGAGGAAATGGGAATAGAAAGAAGAGATAGATAGACTTTATTCATTCAGTAGTAATGTATTACTCATACATGCATAACATAGATATAGGTACATTTCATATTTAAATTATATTAAAATTGGTATAAATAATGATTATAATCTTTCCCACTCCATTGAGGAAACGCCTGAGCACCGTGATGCTTGTATTGTATATCCTCCAAGGAGTATGGCAAGCGTTTGGATTTATGTCAGAACTAGGTACCTATTTTACATATGATACTAGAAAAATTGGGAGTTTAAAATTCTCGTATTTAGAAAAACAAAAAATATATGTTGATAATACCGAGTAAGTGACCAATATTTATATTCTTTTGTCATCAAGATATTCAGAGACATTGAGTCGGTTCGTTTCAGTTTAATGACTAAACATATCAGAAAATTTTTTGAGTTCAGATTTATATAGATTAAGGAAAAAATATGAAAACAAGGAAAGTGAGGAAGAAAGTGGAAAAATCGGGAGAAGAAGACAAAGAAAACGGATAAAACGAAAAGGAGAAATAGTGTAGTTTACCTTGCACTCTTCGTCCAGCAAGTCCAAGATGCCCAGCTTCGTCTCGATGAGGTCGATGCAGGGCTGGTTGTCGTAGAACTCGATCATCTTCCAGCCGATGCCTTCGCGGATGTACTCCTCCTGCTCCAGCTTGAACACGTGCAGATTGAACTGCTGCTGCAGCTTCTCGTTGGCGTAGTTGATGCAGAACTGCTCGAAGGAGTTGGTCTCGAAGGTCTCGAAGCCGTAGATGTCCAGCACGCCGATGAATCTGTGCCGTGGGGTATCTGATTCCAAAGACCTGTATCGATTAAAGTACGTACTGCATTTTGACTTGCATAAGTAATAATTATTCATCATCTTCTACATATTTTCTAGTTATATTCCAGAAAACGCCAATTTTATTTCAGAATAGTTACTTGTATTTCGGAAAGCATCAATTGCATTCCAGAATAGTCTATTGAGTTCCAGAAAACGTCAATTGTATTTCAGAATAGTCACTTGTATCTCAGGAAGAGTCAATTGCATTTCAGATTAGTCATTTCCATTTCGGAAAGCGTCAATTGTACTTCAGAATAGTCACTTGTATTTCAGAAAATATCATTTGATATTGAAGCTTTCTGAAATTCAATAGAGGGTTTCTGAAATACAATTGACGCTTTCTGAAATTGAATCGACTATTTTGAAATACAATTGACGCTTTCTGAAATACAAGTAACTATTCTGAAATACAATTGACTATTCTGAAATACAATCGACGCTTCCTGAAATTCAATTGACTATTCTGAAATACAATTGACGTGTTCTGAAATTGAATTGATGCTTTTTGAAATACAACTGGGAAAGATGTAGTGTCTTGGTTTTAGTTCGAATGATTCACAGTCTAGGATGCTGTCATCTATAGGGTGTTTAGAAATTCGACCGACAACGCATGACAGGTGATAGCCCTCGAGATTTTATAATTACTGAAATAGGGACATAAGGTCTTCAAGTGTTCAGTTCAGAGCTATGAGGTGTTGAAGTTGAGAAATAGAAATAGTTTTTCCACAATAACTCAAGAATGATATCTTGCATTCAAATTCGGGAAATAGTTTAATCTTCGTAAGATTTATTTTTCAACGAGAAAGTTATTCCGGACATTTCATCTAGTGGTGTGCTACAGAGGGTTTTGGTAACTTTTCCTTTCATATCTTTTACGCCACTGATGAAATTTCGATTATGTTCATCAGTTTCTGGAATTCACTGTTCAAAATAGAAGTTTGCATAGTAATTTTATTTTCCATCATTTTCATGTGGTACAAAATTATAAAAATGTTTTTTTTTCTCTGCATGGGATAACTTCTTCTGTTCAACTACAGAATGATATCTGAAAAGTATCTCATATAAGTACTTACCACCAGAATTTTTTTTGATTTTCTACTACTGAAAATGATGAGAGAATCTTCTATCTTAGGTCAAATATCACGAAAACTGTTCTTTTAGCTGAGTTGAAGGTGAATCATTTCTTGAACAAAATTGAACAATTAATTGAAGTAACTGAAAATATTCTAAATTCCATCAGTGGCATAGAAAATTTGGAAGGAAAAGTTAATACAACCCCCTTTAGCGCACCACTGGATAAGATGTCCGGAATGACTTTCTAGTTGAAGAATAACCCATTCAAATATAAAATCATATACCGAATCAAAATGCTGAACATCGAATTATTTTTGAGTCATTGTAAAAAAACTATTTTTATTTCTCAACTTCAACATGCTAAATCTCAGTAATCAAAACATCACGAGGGCTATCACCTGTCGAGAGTTGTCATAACACCCTTAGTTGAGTTGTCCTAAGTGTCAGCAGACCGAGAGCGGCGGATGAGACCTAATGGGCCGAAACAGTATTGTCTCGCTCTTGCCCAATTCTGCTTGTCATACAATCAGTTCCAAAAAAAGTGACGCACTTTATATTTGACCTATCTTCTCAAAAAGGCCGATTTTTTTTTATTTGTTGGTAGGTAATGCACTTGTCTTTGAAAAAAATAAAGAGGTGAACATTTTTTCAAAGCCTCCTTGATGGTGGTGGAATAACTCGAACCATGATTTATTATTAATTTTTTACTCACCCTGTGTGTTAATTGAGTAATTGCATTTAAAGTGCTTGCACACTATACGAAAGAGGCTTCTTTTGCGAGCATTTTGTTTTTTCACTCATTGATTTATCTCTAAAATTTCCCGAATCACAGCTTTTTTTGCTGAATCCTTGCAGATTACCAACTTTCTGAATTTATCGAGAAACAATTTTCTAATGAAATAAACTGATACCAATAATTTTAAAAAACATTTTTATTAAACACAAAATTATAAATTGGGATGACTGCTCAATACCGTGTATTGCCTCCTCTAGCAACTCTAAGAACTTCTAATCTACGAGGCATACTGGAAATTAAGTTGCTTATCGTTTCCATTAGTGTACGATCCCATTCTTCCACTAATGCATCTGCCATTTCTGCGAGACTTTCCGGAAACCTCTCGCGAGAACGTACCCTTCTCCCTAATTCATCTCACAAATGTTCTATAGGATTCATATCGGGGCTTCTCGCAGGCCATTGTAATGTGGTAATACCAGTAGCTTCTAAGAAGTTTCGCACTATTGCTGCGGTGTGTGGTCGGGCATTATCCTGCATCAATATAAAATTATTGCCCATTAACTCTGCATAAGGTAAGACATACTGCTCTGAAATGTCAATGTAAATTTGGGCATTCATCGACTGCCTCACCGGAAAAACATGAAGGGGCGTCTTTCCATTCATTGAAATCCCTCCCCACACCATAACGGACCCACCATTAAAACTTTCGCATTCTGTTTTTAAATTTTGATTAAACCGTTCACCAGTTCTTCTCCACACTCTTCTTCTTCCATTCACCATGTTAAGGCAAAACCTTGACTCATCCGTAAACAAGACATTCGACCATTCAGGAATATTCCACTGTCCATAATTTTCAACAAAATTTCTTGTAGCAGCACGATGTTCGGGCAATAATTTGGGTCCTTTTGCAGGTCTCCTAGCTTTTATATTAACTTCTTTCAGACGTCTACATACCGTCTGCTTACTTACTGCAACATCACGAATTTGGCGAAGATCTTGCTGAACATTTACCGCAGTATTTGATCGATTCCGTAAAATCCGCAATCTCAAGAATCGATCATCTCTTGGAGAAGTTTTTAGGGGGCGACCAGAACCGACCCTCCGAGCGGTGCTTCCTGTTTGTTCGTACTTGCGGATTGCTCTACGAGCAGTTGCTTCATGAACTCCCATTGCACGAGCGGCGTAACGTTTACTACGCCCATCGTTTACTAACGCAACTAATCTTGCTACTTGTTCAGGATTCATTTGAGGCATTTTATGTAATTTTAGTCAATAAAACAAGACACTTAATTAATGACACAACGACTGATGAAGGCATACAACAAATTAGTTGCTATGGCAACGGCATTTGTTTTTTCAAAGACAATGTGATCCTACCAGAGTACAACCCAATCAATTTTGAGTACTCTGATCTTTCAATATATAAATTTAATTTGTGGGACAAGCGTAAAGTATCAGCAAAAAAGCTGTAATTCGGAAAATTTCAGAGATAAATCAATGAATAAAAAAAAATGATCGAAAAAGAAGCCTCTTTCGTATAGGGTGTAAGCACTTACTATGCCATTACTCAATTAACACACAGGGTGAGTAAAAAATTAAGAATAAATCATGGTTCGAGTTATTCCCGGATGCTTTGAAAAAATTTTCACCTCTTCATTTTTTTAAGAGAAATGCATTACCTACCAACAAATAAAAAAAATAAAAATCGGCCTACTATTTTTTTTAAGAAGATAGGTCAAATATCAAGTGCGTCACTGTTTTTTCAGCTGAGTGTAGATCAAACGTTGCGCATACGGAGAAAGATATTATGTAGAAAGTATATCTTGTTGACATAGATGTCCGATTGATAGTTTTTCATTCTCACGGAATCATTAGGGCAAAACGAACAAAACTTATCCTCGAATATCAGGTAAACAAAAATGAGAGTCTTCAGAAATTTAACACATCAACTTTTCAGTTGCTTGCGGGTTTACCGCAAAAGCAAAAGCAAAGTTGCCAATATTCTCAAACTACGTACGTAGGTCCATGAAAAACACCTACTTGATATCAGGAAATAAAACAATAAAATCGGAAGTGAATAAACAATTATTAATGCCCTTTTATGGATACCTGTTGATGACTAGAACGATCCAGTTGAATAGCTCGGCGTAGATGTGTTTGGCGAGGGCGTCTCGAGAGATGGTGGCCTCTTCCAAGGTCATCGGCTTGAGGAAGACCTCCCTCATGGAGACCAGTTTCCTAGTGCACAGCCACTGTCTCATGTCGTCCTGGTCGATTTCGAGGAGATCGCACAGGATTTTCATGTGCTTGTCTTCTGGCTGAGAAGTGGAATAATGAGTGATTCTAGGTACACTCGTCTTCAGTGAACATGTCGCACATGGACAGTGTGTTTCTCTCTAAATCACTGCTGCAATAAGAGCGCTTACACCGTCCAACCGAGATATGTTTTCTGAAGACGACTGTACACCTCCAATGGGGAAGACCACTGAGGAATGAAATTCGTCCAAACCTCTTTCAATCGATGAATCATGATTTACATTCGATATACCATCAATATTATGAGTTGAAGTTGAGGGGAATAGAATCTATATCGTTATGATATCAGCATGTTCCATTCAATATTTCAAAAAGCCAGATACTTATGAAGGTGGAGCCATCACATATTAGTCCCGAACGTAGCTATTTCTTTCTGATACCTTGCAATTTTGCAGTGTTTTGTAGTGTGATTGGTCAGCTCAAGGACTATAGGCGTGTTGAGACTAATACAGTAGTCACACCAATGAATTGACACCATTTCAAATGGCGCAGAATAAGTGTGTATTTTGCAATGAAAAAAATCAAAATTTTATTAACTTAGTTTTTTTGGTTTGGTGATGTTTTGAAAAATCAGTGGTTTCCTCTCTTGTTGTTCAAATAGTGTCGATTGTATTTCCAAATAGTCATTATTTGAGTTTTAACCCGCATTATTTGAATTCAGTTAGTTAAATTTCAAGGTATGTCACTTGTGTTCCAAGAATCGTACCACTGTTCTCCCACAAGAGTCTCGAGATCATACCCGTGTGTTCACCGAACACGCTCGATCGTTACCTAAGCGGTGGGGAGACCGACACGTAAGCAGGCAGTCATGATACAATGAGTGGGCAGGCAGCTTCTCTCATGCTGTCTTTGTTTTTGTAGTACGGGGTGGGCCACCACCACCAACAGTTTTCTTGATCACATTTCAACTTTTTTTTTTTTTTTTCGAATAAATAAGAAACATTTGATAGGCATCAAGTGATCTACTGCGACCTATCAGATAATGAAAGCGATGATTTGATTTGCAATAATTCGCTATGTCACGACGAGTCCTACATGTAAATAGCGAACCACTCATCGAAAATCATGAAACTGTATGTACATATTATATGCTTATGTTTTGTTGGCGAGGACGCTCGTTTTGTTCAAATTATTTTCGATAATGTTCATCTGCTTCACTAGAAATTATTATTAGTAGTTATGTAGTACTTAGTAGTATAGTAGTAGCAGCTTTGTTATTCAAAATGGACACCTTATATTTTATTACATTTTTCCATTCTTCTAATTGAGCTATGATTTCGTTGATCAAGCTCAAGGTATACCTATACGTAGAATGTGAAAAATCGAGATTTTTTTTGTATCGAAACTATACAAATACCTATATTGATTTGTCAAAATGGCTTACATGTGTCCCTATCCTAACATTCTATTTACTATCTACTGATGCCATTTAATTGAAACAAATACAGGGTGGATCAGATTTCAGAATTATATAAAAGAAGTACTAATAGTATGCCTACTAAAAAAATATATAATATATTTGAAATAAACAAAACAAATATATCACATAAAAAAACACACTCTAATATTCAACATAAAATAAAATTCAATCCCACTGGATATGTATTTAAAAATATAAACAGTGTGCATGTCACTTCTATAATAGAATATCAACCCGTATATCTAACGTAACTGTTAAATTTTTAGGAGCGATAGATATATATACCAACTATGACCAAAGTGAGGTAATCTTGAGTGAAAAACACTGCTCTGATGGTCATGGACCCACCAACATTTCCGGAAAATTATATTAGGAGGCAAGATAGGTTGAAAATCACTACTGATTCTAAATCAGGACGTAACCCTGTACCTCATCGAAAACGAAGCAAGTTTAGGACACATGTTTATATGACCTTTATTCATCATATTATATCACAAGGATTACAAGGAATCATCCCTTGAATTATTTCGGTGTTATTTAGATACACCCTGTATAGATCATTCTTCATCCCAATATAGTTATTCAACATTTTTCCCATAGCGAAGTTCAGCAAATAACGATGGCGAGAGCACTATGTTTATTGATTTGATGTCTACCTATAATATATGTAAAACAAGAAGGCACAACTACTAGTGTTCCGTTTCGAAGTACATTAAATTGACAAATTTGACTCCAAAATAATTCAGGCACGCGCCAATATTCATAACGTAGTTACTGCTGCCCGTTTACGTTTCCCCACCGCTTAGGGATCGATCGGGCGTGTTCGGTGAACACACGGGTATGATCTCGAGACTCTAGTTGTTCTCCCTCTTGGAGACTGTTTGCCTGCCTAAACATCGCACCGCTGCAAATAATCTCGCGCAGCTCGCGGGATGTTATACAACAAATAATCCGTGTCGTGAGGACGCTTCTATTTTTTTACTGTGAAGGCATTTACAGTTGGAGCCGATAGTGGTTCGCTATTTTAATGATGTGCTTTTTTCAAGGATCGGTCGTGAGCGAAGCTCTCGGCTGGAAATCTTCTGTAAACTTGTTTCCGCACGGATTATTTGTTACGTCCTGCCTCTAGTTGCTTCTATTCGGGTAGTATTGAAATCAATGAAATTGAAATGAGCTCTTTTCTACCTCGAACGAGAGAGAGGAACGTTCTCTCCTCTTCCATCTTTCTCTTCAGTGCTACCAACGTGGCCGCATTGAAATAAAGAGAGTTCCGATAAAACTTTCCTTGTCTAACGTCTACTTTGCGCCACTGAACTATTTTCTATGTTATAATAATGGTTATAATGATGTGACATGTCTATGTCATAAATGCCATTGACTGATAACCTTTCGAATTTTTCCAATGAAATTTCGAATTATATCATACTTATTTTGACATCATTTGTTAATATCGTTAAATTTGACTCTCTGCTGAATTGAAGAATAGTTCAGTGACACAAACTAGATGTTAGGACAGATCTATCGGACCTCTCTATATTTCATTGCGGCTACGTTGGCATCATTGAAGAGAAAGATGGATGAGGAGAGAACTTTCCTCCTCTCGTTCAAGATAGAAAATACCTTAATTCGTGCTTAGTCATACAGTGGTATTATTAGCACGAATTCAATCTTACGCGAAACGGATCATGAAAACATTATAACGTCCGACGATCGTAACACTAGACATGTCCATATTCGGGCGGTTGGTCATTCAGTCATTTCCTTTCAACTAGCAACACTGTATGTGTTGACATATTGACGTCACTATCAACTTAGTGTGAAAGCCCTTTAGTTGGAATTTCAGCAATCAGGACGTATTGGCGGTTTCGCTATATTCCAAATCGCGTATGTTGGTAATAATAATCATTACATCTAACTATACCATTTCCATCTATGGCTCTCTGAATTTTGAAGACATGAAACTTATAAGGAAGAAAAATATATCAATGAAAGAAGACTACATTTTATGAACAATTCAACCTAACTCGGCCTAATATACCAGATGGCCATGAGAACCGGCCGGTTCTGCTGAAACCGGAAGTCATTCGAAATGTGTAACTGTATAAATGAATGCGAAACAAGATGTTATTTGAACCCTCCAAATTTCATAATTCTATCTCAAGTGATTCAGAAATTACAGGAGCTGTCCGATTTTCGTGGCCACCCGGTATAAATAATAATAATAATAATAATGATAATGTTTTTCTTGTCAAAATTTTACATAAAATAAAAAAATCATTGTTACATGAATATGGGTATGCTGACAAAAATCAGAGTTCGCACTAACTGCAGGAAGCAGAGAGAAGCGCTATAATAATATGAATATAAGAAAGGAAAATATCCTTTCTGCATAAAGAACTACTTTTTCTAAACAATGTTACCTAACTCGGCCTAAATGAACCTTCTTCCTAGAAAGTATATTTTTCGCAAAATATCTTTTCTGCATAAGAAGAGAGACTACTTCAGTTGAACAGTCTAACCAAACTCGGCCTAAATGAACCTTCTAGTACTTGCAAGTCTACAGAAAATTTCTGAACGATTCTGAAAACATCATTGATTGGGATAAAGAATCACTATCAGCCTCAACAGTATTTTTTTCAATTAGCCACATAAGGTGAGTCCCCAATGCAGCTTTCTTGCTTTTCGCGGCAAAATCATGGGAATATCTGAGAATACTGAAAATATAATAGAATGCTCTCAAGATAAACAGAGCTCAGAGTTGCATCACATACGTAATTCATCAAAAAACGAAAACAGCACAGTGAAAATGAGATAATTAGGTAGGTAGGTACCTACTTCACTGATACTGCAATGATTTACTTACCATTAGATTACTCTCTGGAATGAGGGTTTGATGAAGTTGCATTCAAAATTTCTATATTTCCATGAAAAATCTTGATGTGTTCAAAGAATTTATAATGCTTTAATGACTATTAAGCTTACTGAAACATTACCTCTACACAACGCCAAAAAGTTAAAATATTTTACCATCATCGCGTCAAATATTTTTCAAATTCGGCGTCATCAATCAGGTTGCATGACGCGCGACCCGTAAAGCGAAAACGCTGCATTGGGAACTCACCTTTAGAAAAAAAAAAGGTGGAGTAACCATTTTATGTCTAGCCGTTGATTGATATATTACGCTTAGCGTAATATATCAATCAACGGTCTAGCGAAATGATGCACAGTTTTATATTTAAATTTCTCAATAAGAGCAGAGCTATTCAATGATATTATCTTTCCTCGTTTACCGCAATCAGTTCAGAACAGAATGAAGCTGACACCCATGTTACGTTCCTGGCCCGAGACGCACGTCTTATCCATAGCAAGTCATGGTTTTGTGAATCCCTGGATTCTTGCCATTAAGATTGCAGCACTGAGCACTCGAATCTCGGGGATTTTACATGCTTCGCATTCGCAAGTTTACGCCAATAAACTCAATGGAGATTGTCTATGAGTATGAGTCTATGACTCAAGACTCAATGTAAGAGTTCATTGGTTCACGGGGCTTACGTTAGGCTAGGTACTCTACAATCTACATTA